CCAAGGCCTTCGCCATGAGGCCAAGGACTCGACAATGTTCCATTATCCACAGCAACTTAATCACGAATTGACGAGGTCTCATTCGATTTCTCAAAATCGAAGAGCTCGTCCATACACATAATCATAATAAATCTAAGTATATAGATGAAAATACGCATATAATCGAACGGTACCTAGGAAACCCAACCATTACCGTACTCCGCTGAGGAGGAGATGGGGTTAGGGCTGGATACGGTGCTTTCAGAGGCGGGGTACAATCCGAAGTCCGTTTCCAATGGTACCTCCTTACGTTCCCATTTTCTGCCAAGGTGAGCGACCACTTCAAACATGTTTAAGCGAGGGTGGCCCAGAAAAACGAGTGTTTTCCTCCTCCGATGCTCATCACGCATTCCTACCACCACACTCTTCCACGGTTGGGGTAGGATTTGAGCAAGCTTGTCCACGCTGTCTTCGTGATCGACAATGGGGTTTTCACCTTTATGCAAGGTGTACCACAAATCATACACTTCTTGAATACATCTCCTAACATCGATTGGCCGAGAGGGTTTGAAATCCTCAAACTCCTTTATTTTCTTTCGATCTATATCCGACATGAAGCCTTCGAGGCCGAAGACCTCCGAGCTCGACTCGACAATTGAACAATTAAAAGGTATCTCGGCCATGAGGTCCCGTACCAATGCAAAGAGAGGCGATATCGGTGGAGTCGTTGCGTTGTGCTGGGCTGTTGCTTGTCCGTCGTGGTGGAGGTTGGGCTCGCCGGCAGGTTGCTATTTGTTAGCCGCTGCAACTAACGAAGACGACGCACGAATCACCGGAGCTCCTGTGCGAAGAGGGCCTGCCTGAGTTACAGGTTCAGCGAATCATGATGGAGGGACTCGCCGAAAAACGCAAGAAACAGAGGCTGCGATTTGCGACGGGAGGGAGCAACAGGTCACCAAAACTTGCTGGCCCGTTGCTGGTACACTTCCGGCGAGAGAAGATGGCGATGCGAGAGGATGATGACGATGAGGGACGATGGTGACCTGCCGGACAATTTGATGATGGTGGCAGAGAGCGATGATGGTGACCGGCGATTACGATCGAGAGAGAGGGTACAAGATGACTGCGGGATTTCTCAAAATCTGCTGAGGGATGATACGTGAGCTGATGGTCCATCTCCCTTTATTTAAATCATGTAGGGTTTATATTTCTTCACCTCCAAGCCACACACACACGCACGGAATTTTAGAAAAACTGGGCTCGGGCTAAGCTGGGTTGGCTCTCGGTTCGCTAGACGCTCGCGGGTTCTCGGGCTCGACTTAAACGCACGATTAAAATAAAAATTAGGTAAATACATATATATTTATTAATAATATAACATTTAGACAATTAATATCAATAATAGTAATACTACTAATAACAACAATAATAGCAAATTGGCATTTATAATAATAATAATAATAATAATAATAATAATAATAATAACAATAATAATAATAATAATAATAATAATAATAATAATAATAATAATAATGATAATAAATAATAAATAAAGGCAATTATAATATCAATAATCAATGTTTATTCCCAATAATCCACGATAAAACGGGGTATTACAGTATGAGCTCAGCTATTGTGGTGTCGGTTGTGAATTTGGTCGTGAGTTTCTTTAAATTTCCATTATGAAATTCAATAAGGATTTGGTTTGTTTATGCCACGCTTGTAAGAGTTCCGCTGTGTATTTAAGATTTGAACATTTGTGATTTTAAAGTTGAAATTTAATAATTTACTGGTTCACCAGTATGACCGGGTTTATTTTTTCATACTTGTTCAATATTTAAAATCTGTTTTATATCTAACATAGTTGTTAGACTGAGTTTGAAGGAAACAGATTTTATAGCAGATAAGTTTTAGTAACATCTTGAGTTAAGAATATGTCGAAAACAAATTTGTAAGTATTTTCGAAATAAGTTAAAAAAAATTTTCTCTGATAAGCGGGGTGTTACAGTTGGTATCAGAGCTAGATTTTAAATGCTCTGTATACTAAAAGTTTAAGTTCAAAAAGAAAGTTTCAAGAAAACCGACCACAATACACTCACACCTCGCCGACTACTAGGTAAGTGTTGTTAAAAGTTTTTATAAAGTTAAATATATGCAAATTACTAAGTCTATGCTCAATAAGAATCAGATATCTGAATCTTAGAAATCAGATTAAATGCTCAATATATATAGAATTTAGCATGTATTTTCTGAATGTGCTAAAAGTTTATCTTTTATAATAAATTTTAGATGGCACCCCAAGCTCGGAGAGAGTTGACGACAGCAGAAGTCGTTGCTCAATTCCGTGGATACAATCCTGAGATATTCTCAGGACAAGGAGATCCTCGTCTGGTTGAGGAATGGATTCAGGGTCTTGAATCTATTTTTGAGATCACATAATGTACAGAGAGGCATCGTATTCTCTATGCTCAATTGCAAATAACCGGAGATGCTAGATTATGGTGGAACTCCTACTGGGGCATGCGTCCTGGGGAGAAGGAGAATCTTACCTGGACTCAGTTCAAGAAGATGCTGGAGGAGAAATACTATCCAGCTCATTATCGTGCTGAGATGGAACGCCAATTTTTGGCGTTAGTTCAAGGCAGCCGTTCAGTTGCCGAATATGAGCGTGAATTTACTCGGTTGGGATCTTTTGTTTCTTATCTGGTGGACGCAGAGGCGAAAAAGGTGAGACGTTTCCAAGAAGGGTTACTACCAGCAATCCGTCATCACGTAGCTGGACACTGTATTCAGACTTATGCTGATATAGTTGTCAAGGCTCAAGAAGTAGATGCATGTTTCCGAAGAGGTGATGGCCAAGTCCAAGTGCAGCCACTCGCTCAGGTTCCAGCAATTTCCTCAGTGCAGCCAATGCCTGTTCAGCAGGCAAAGAGTACAAACAAAAGAAAGTGGAAAGGCCCTCAGAACGATCAGAATAATAAACATAAACAGCCAGGTCAAGCTAACCGACCACAACTTCCAGCATGTGGTACCTGTGGACGTCCTCATCGAGGAGAATGTCTCGCAGGCCGAACATTTGCTATCACTGTCGCAAGCCTGGACATATTACCAAGGATTGTCCAGATAGGCAGGGGCAACTTCAGGGGCAGCCTCAGCAGCAGAGGCGAGCAGGACAACAAGCTCAAGTGTATGCTGTGGAGTAGGCTCAGGCGGAGTAGAACCCATGTACTATTTTTGGGATGATTATTCTAAATGATATTCCTATTTTTGCATCGTTTGACACGGGAGCTTCGCATTCTTTCGTGCCAAAACGATGTATAAAAGCCATAGGAGTTCAACTCATTAACACTGTGGACCCTCTTGAGGTAAGTTTAGCCTCAGGAAGGAAGATAGGGATGAGCTCTAAGGCGGAAAATCTTATTCTCAATATTGGTGGGCGAATTTTGGAAGTCGGCGCATATGTTATCGAGATGAGGGATTCGACCTCATACTCGGTATGGATTGGCTAACACATTATTGGGCGGATATTTGTTGTCATGACCGGGAGGTGATCCTTTATCTTTCGGAGGATGATCAAATTTCTTTCTATGGTTCGAAGACTCGATCGTTGCCACGGGTGATTTCCATGGCGAAGGCGAGGAAAATCATAAGACGGGAAGATTGCCAAGGACACTTGGTGAGCATTGTCGACGAAGATTCGAGAGCACAAACACCTCATGACATTCCAATTTTTTGTGAGTTTGTGGATGTGTTCCCGGATCAACTACCAGGAGGACCACCCAGCAGGCAGGTGGAGTTCACAATCGATCTTGTTCTAGGAGCAGAACCAGTGTCAAAGGCACCATATCGGATGGCATCGAAGGAGTTACAAGAGTTAAAAACTCAAATTCTAGAGTTGTTGAAACTTGGTTTCATCAGGCCAAGTGTTTCACCTTGGGGAGCACCTGTTTTGTTTGTCAAGAAGAAGGATGGATCCTTGAGGATGTGTATTGATTACCGGGAGTTAAACTGGTTAACCGTAAAGAATAAGTATCCGCTCCCAAGGATAGATGATTTGTTCGATCAGTTGAGAGGAGCTTGCGTATTTTCAAAGATAGATTTACGCGCAGGCTATCATCAACTGAAGATTAAAGAATCTGACGTAGCTAAAACTGCATTTCGAACAAGATACAGTCATTACGAGTTCGTAGTGATGCCGTTTGGGGTAAGTAATGCACCAACGGTGTTCATGGACTTGATGAATCGTGTTTTTTTATTTGTATTTAGACCAATTTGTCATTGTCTTTATTGATGATATTTTGGTTTATTCCAAGAGTCTGGAGGATCATGAGGAGCATCTGAGGGTTGTTCTCAGTACCCTTAGAAGAAAGAAGTTGTATGCCAAATTCTCGAAGTGTGAGTTTTGGCTAAAGAAAGTGGCATTTTTGGGCCATATTATCACTGAGAGAGGCATAGAAGTGGATCCAACAAAGGTAGCCGCAGTTTAGAATTGGACAGTGCCAAAGAATCCATCTGAAGTTCGTAGTTTTCTCGGATTAGCAGGTTATTATCGTAGATTTATCGAGGGGTTTTTAAAGATTGCTCTCCCTTTGACAAATTTAACGAGAAAATCTGTGAAGTTCGAGTGGTCCAATCATTGTGAAAAGAGTTTACAAGAGCTTAAGAAGAAGCTTACAACAACTCCAGTGCTGATTATTCCAGATCCTACTAAAAGTTTCACTATTTATAGTGATGCTTCGAAGCAGGGTCTCGGATGTGTACTTATGCAAGATGGTCAGGTTGTTGCATATGCTTCACGACAATTGAAGCCAAATGAGCAGAATTATCCAACTCATGATTTAGAGTTGGCAGCAGTAGTACACGCACTCAAGATTTGGAGGCATTATCTCTATGGTGGCCAGTGTGAAATATTCACTGATCACAAGAGTTTGCAATATATATTCACACAAAAGGAGCTCAATATGCGCCAAACAAGATGGTGGAGCTTGTGAAAGATTATGATTGCACTATCCAATATCATCCGGGAAAAGCGAATGTTGTAGCAGATGCCCTAAGCCGTAAGGTGAACGGTGGGTTGGCCTGTTGTATCACTCGACAGAACCAACTTATTAAAGAGTTCGCTGGGATGCAGATTGAAGTTGTCCAGACACTTCCTAAGGAGATTACGGGAAGTGTTAACTCGATGCGGGTTCAGCCCATGTTGAGAGATAGAATCCGGCAGGAACAATCTTTTGATCAATTTATTCGAAAGATAGAAGAAAAAGTTCAGGCTGGAGGAGTAGAGGGTTTTTACCGAGGCATAGATGGAGCCTTGGAGTTCAGAGGCAGAATTGTTGTGCCGAATGTTGAGGCCTTGCGAAAGGAGATCTTGACTGAAGCACACAGTGCACCATATTTAGCTCACCCCGGAAGCACCAAAATGTATCATGACTTGAAAAAGTTGTTTTGGTGGAAAGGGATGAAAAGAGATGTAGCAGACTTTGTGAAGAAGTGTTTGGTCTGTCAGCAAGTTAAGGCCGAGCACAGGAGTCCATTAGGTCTGTTGCAGCCACTTAAGATTCCTAAGTGGAAGTGGGAAGAAGTTACCATGGACTTTGTTACATGGCTACCTAAGTCATCAGAACAACATGATGCGATTTGGGTAGTAGTGGACAGATTGACGAAAGTCGCACGTTTTATTCATGTGACAATAACCATGTCGATGGATAAGTTAGCTGAAATATATACCCGTCGAATTATTCGACTCCACATAGTGCCTGTTACAATCATATATGATCGTGATCCCAGATTCACCAGTAGATTCTGGGGGAGTTTGCATGAGACAATGGGCACGTAGTTAAGTTTCAGTTCGGCTTATCATCCAGAGACAGATGGCCAATCAGAAAGGACAATCTTGACGCTTGAAGATATGCTCAGAGCTTGTGTTTTGGATAGAGGTGCTAAGTGGGAGAAATGGTTGCCATTAGTAGAGTTTGCCTACAACAGCTACCATGCCTCGATTCAGATGGCTCCTTACGAAGCACTTTATGGCCGCAAGTGTCGTTCGCCCCTTTATTGGGACGATTTTGGAGAGAGGCGAGTACTTGGTCCGAAGATGATTGTGAAAACAGTTGAGCAAGTAGCCTGGATTCGAGAAAGGCTCAAGACTGCTCAGAGTCGGCAAAAGACTTCAGCTGATAAGCATAGACGAGAAATGCATTTGAGGTAAGAGATAAAGTCTTCCTGAAAGTCCGTCCAATGCGAGGTGTCGTTCGTTTCGGGAAGAAAGGTAAGTTGCATCCTCGTTATATAGGTCCGTTCGAAGTTCATGAGCGAGTAGGATAAGTATCCTATTGATTAGGTTTACCTCCCGAGTTATCCAGTGTGCATAATGTATTTCACGTATCGATGTTACGTGCATACGTGTGCGATCCAGATCATGTGCTCAGCACAATTAGATTCAGATTCAGCCAGATTTAACTTACGAGGAGCAACCTATGGCAGTTTTGGACCGAAAGGTTCATAGGCTCAGGAAACGAGATATTCCCCTCGTTCGTATCAGATGGAATTGCCACGGAGAATCAGATGCCACTTAGGAGCGAGAAGCTGATATTAGGGCTCGTTTTCCAGATTTTGAGTTTTGATATGTACTCAGTTAGTATGTATCCCAGTTTAAGTATTTCCGAGGACGGAAATAATTTTAAGGGGGGTAGATTGTAATATCCCAATCAGTTATTAAGTTATAATTTAAAAGTTTGACTTTAAGTTGAAAGTATTCTCGGTTAAATTTTATTTAGCCAGTTCATGAATTAGTTCCGGTTCGTTTATTTTTACAAATGGATTTTATTAGTAGGGATTAATTATTTCGTGTAGTCTGATAAGTTTTATGATTAATTTGACATGAGTGTCTAAATTAATCATTCGAGTAAAATAATTTATTTAGACATTTTGGTCTATTTAAATTATTAGAGAGAAATATAAAGTTTTTTTTTTTCAAATTTTCGAGTTTTCGGTTTTCGATTGTAGTCGGAATTTAAGTCCGATTTCACTTTGGAAAAATAAATTAAATTATTTTCTCTCTATATTTTTAGTAGACTACAAGATAAGAAAAGTTTTTTTAGCATTAGAAGGAAAAATGCCAAAATTAAAAGAAGAAAATCCGAAATTGTTAGAATTTTTGATTTTACGGTAACTGTTCGTTTTTAAGTCAGAATTCGGTTCCGTAAATTCTAGATTTTTCTATATTCACGAATTATTTAATGTCAATCAGATTGGGATCACATTATGGGGCCTTTTTAAGCATTGACTATACATTAGGGAATTTTACAAGTTATGATTTCATTTTTTTATCTTTATTAATTTTCATAAGTTATGTTTGTTTATTTTTGTTTATTTCTTCACTCAATCATCTTGTCCCCTCTTTTGTGACTATAAATAGAGGCCTTAAATTAGAATATTTTCATCAAAAATAAATTTCAAGAGTAATATAACTCATTAGAGAGAAATAAGTTGTGGAAATTTTGGGGAGGTGAAGAATCAATTTTCGAGTGCAAATTTTATTTTCAAGCAAGAAGAAGAAGGTAATAAGCCATTCTTTTAGTATGATTTATAGATAATTTAAAGTGCCTTAATATGAGTTAGAATGTGTTAAAGTTCCAGCCATTAAGTATTTATAATTATGTCATGAAGTAAGAAGTTATGTTAGATCGTATGCATGATTGTTATGTGTTGTTTGATTTCGAATTAAGCATGCTATGTATAACCTGGTATATTATAATTATTATAGCTATTTCTTGTGTAAATGATGAGTACATAGGAGCAAGAATCATGTCTTTTGGTTACGTATAGCTCGAGTTATAGATTTTTAAAGCTTATCATGCAAGCTGAATTTTATGTGCATGTTTCCAGCAGTGACTTTGAACGGGAATAAGTTGAGATATATGCATGATAAAATTATGAAATTTTTATTACATATCTACGTATGTGTTGAGATCATGCTTGCCAAATTTCATAATTTTAGATTGAAGAATGAATGAGTAAAAATGTTTATACCCCATATATGTCAAGATGATTTTATATGCAAGAGTACTCAGTCCAAGTTTGAGTTTTTAACATGAAACTTTTATGTAAAATTCTCACATGAGGGATGAACAATTCGACCAAGTTTCATCTTAATATGTTGATTATACGATTTTATAAAATTGTTGAAGTTTTGCATGTAAATAGCATATTTTTATGTTATGATTAACACTTGAGTTAAATATGCTTTAAATTTGAATTTTTAGTACCAAGTATATTTAAGCCGATTTTGATAGCTATAAATCCTTCTAAACCATGTGTATGATGTTGGTAAAAGTTGAGCATGTTTTGAGTTCATGTACTCGGTCATCTATTATGTGAAATTTAGCTTATTTCCACTTCCGAGTAATTTTAAGTTACATGAGAGTATAAGTCAATATCTAAGATTCAGAAATCATGATTTATATGGTTTAAGTTTGGCCTTAAGTAAAAGTTCAAGTTAAGTTATTCAATGAATTAGTGTTCATCTGAGTTATAGCCAGAATCTTTTTAATATTCGAATAAGTTATCAGTTGATGTTAAAACATCTTATTGAGTATATGAGCATAGTACTTAGTATATTTGTGTATATTTTTATGTAGCTTTAGGAGTTAGCTACCCATGAGAAACACTTACGATTTTCAAACATTTTCGAAGAAGAAAGGTGGGGACCCAGCCTGGGTATTACATTGAGTATAATAGTTATTATCATGTCAAAGGTACGTATATGAGTTATCCGCTTTGGGTGGAGGCCAATTGCCTTAATATGCCATCCCGAGTTCTGGTGGAGGCACAGTAGCCTTAATATGCCATCAGAGTGTGCACACGGTTACGGACATAGTGTCCGAGAGATTCAGTTTCGTTACCGACCTAGTGTCGGGAGATTACAGTTTACTTATATATACCTGCGATCATGATATTGATATTATTATTAATGTTTACTTTAGTATGAGTTTACACGGAGTACAGTGGATTAGTACTCACTCCCCACTATTATCATTTTCAGGTAACAGGGTCGGAGCGAGGGTGTGAGCTCATCTATTGTGGTGTCGGTTGTGAATTTGGTCGTGAGTTTGTTTAAATTTCCATTATGAAATTTAATAAGGCTTTGGTTTGTTTATGCCACGCTTGTAAGAATTCTGCTATGTATTTAAGATTTGAACATGTGTGATTTTAAAGTTGAAATTTAATAATTTACCGGTTCACCAGTATGACCGGGTTTAGTTTTTCATACTTGTTCAATATTTAAAATCTGTTTTATATCTAACATAGTTGTTAGACTGAGTTTTAAGGAAACAAATTTTAAAGCAGATAAGATTTAGTAACATCCTGAGTTAAGAAGATGTCGAAAACAAATTTGTAAGTATTTTCGAAATAAGTTAAAGAAAAATTTTCTCTGATAAGCGGGGTGTTACAGTTGGTATCAGAGCTAGATTTTAAATGCTCTGTATACTAATAATTTAAGTTCAAAAAGAAAGTTTCAAGAAAACCGACCACACCACACTCACACCTTGCCGACTACCATGTAAGTGTTGTTAAAAGTTTTTATAAAGTTAAATATATGTAAATTACTAAGTCTATGCTCAATAAGAATCAGATATCTGAATCTTAGAAATCAGATTAAATGCTCAATTTATAGAATTTAGCATGTATTTTCTGAATCTGCTAAAAGTTTATCTTTTATGATAAATTTTAGATGGCACCCCAAGCTCGGAGAGAGTTGACGACAACAGAAGTCGTTGCTCAATTCTGTGGATACAATCCTGAGATATTCTCAGGACAAGGAGATCCTCGTCTGGTTGAGGAATGGAATCAGGGTCTTGAATCTATTTTGGAGATCACAGAATGTACAGATAGGCATCGTATTCTCTGTGCTCAATTGCAGATGACTGGAGATGCTAGATTATGGTGGAACTCCTACTGGGGCATGCGTCCTGGGGAGAAGGAGAATCTTACCTGGACTCAGTTCAAGGAGATTCTGGAGGAGAAATACTATCCAACTCATTATCGTGCTGAGATGGAACGCCAATTTTTGGCGTTAGTTCAAGGCAGCTGTTCAGTTGGCGAAAAAGGTGAGACATTTCCAAGAAGGGTTACTATCAGCAATCCGTCATCACGTAGTTGGACACTGTATTCAGACTTATGCTGATATAGTTGTCAAGGCTCAAGAAGTAGACGCAAGTTTCCGAAGAGGTGATGGCCAAGTCCAAGTGCAGCCACTCGCTCAGGTTCCAGCAATTTCCCCAGTGAAGCCAATGCCTGTTCAGCAGGCAAAGAGTACAAACAAAAAAAAGTGGAAAGGCCCTCAGAACGATCAGAATAATAAACAGAAGCAGCCAGGTCAAGCTAACCGACCACAACTTCCAGCATGTGGTACCTGTGGACGTCCTCATCGAGGAGAATGTCTCGCAGGCCAGAACATTTTCTATCACTGTCGCAAGCCTGGACATATTACCAAGGATTGTCCAGATAGGCAGGGGCAACTTCAGGGGCAGCCTCAGCAGCAGAGGCGAGCAGGACAACAAGCTCAAGTGTATGTTGTGGAGCAGGCTCAGGCGGAGCAGAACCTAGGTACTATGTCTGGGATGATTATTCTAAATGATATTCCTATTTTTGCATTGTTTGACACGGGAGTTTCGCATTCTTTCGTGTTAAAACGATGTATAATAGCCATAGGAGTTCAGCTCATTAACACTGTGGACCCTCTTGAGGTAAGTTTAGCCTCAGGAAGGAAGATAGTGATGAGCTCTAAGGCGGAAAATCTTAATCTCAATATTGGTGGGCGAATTTTGGAAGTCGGCGCCTATGTTATCGAGATTAGGGACTTTGACCTCATACTCGGTATGGATTGGCTAACGCATTATCGGGAGGATATTCGTTGTCATGACCGAGAGGTGATCCTTTATCTTTTAGAGGATGATCAAATTTCTTTCTATGGTTTGAAGACTCGATCGTTGCCACGGGTGATTTCCATGGCGAAGGCGAGGAAAATCATAAGACGGGAAGATTGCCAAGGATACTTGGTGAGCATTGTCGACCAAGATTCGAGAGCACAAACACCTCATGACATTCCAATTGTTTGTGAGTTTGTGGATGTGTTCCCAGATCAACTACCAGGAGGACCATCCAGCAGGCAGGTGGAGTTCACAACCGATCTTGTTCCAGGAACAGAACCAGTGTCGAAGGCACCATATCGGATGGCACCGAAGGAGTTACAAGAGTTGAAAACTCAAATTCAAGAGTTGTTGAAACTTGGTTTCATCAGGCTAAGTGTTTCACCTTGGGGAGCACCTGTTTTGTTTGTCAAGAAGAAGGATGGATCCATGAGGATGTGTATTGATTACCTGGAGTTAAACCGGTTAACAATAAAGAATAAGTATCCGCTCCCAAGGATAGATGATTTGTTCGATCAGTTGAGAGGAGCTTGCGTATTTTCAAAGGTAGATTTACGCTCAAGCTATCATCAACTGAAGATTAAAGAATCTGATGTAGCTAAAACTGCATTTCGAACAAGATACGGTCATTACGAGTTCGTAGTGATGCCGTTTGGGGTAAGTAATGCACCAGCGGTGTTCATGGACTTGATGAATCGTGTTTTTCATTAGTACTTAGACCAATTTGTCATTGTCTTTATTGATGATATTTTGGTCTATTCCAAGAGTCTGGAGGATCATGAGAAGCATCTGAGGGTTGTTCTCAGTACCCTTAGAAGAGAGAAGTTGTATGCTAAATTCTCTAAGTGTGATTTTTGGCTAAAGAAAGTGGCATTTTTGGGCCATATTATCACTGAGAGAGGCATAGGAGTGGATCCGGCAAAGGTAGCCGCAGTTCGGAATTGGACTGTGCCAAAGAATCCATCTTAAGTACGTAGTTTTCTCGGATTAGCAGGTTATTATCGTAGATTTATCGAGGGGTTTTCAAAGATTGCTCTCCCTTTGACAAATTTAACGAGAAAATCTGTGAAGTTCGAGTGGTCCAATCGCTGTGAAAAGATTTTCCAAGAGCTTAAGAAGAAGCTTACAACAACTCCAGTGCTGGTTATTCCAGATTCTACTAAAAGTTTCACTATTTATAGTGATGCTTCGAAGCAGGGTCTCGGATGTGTACTTATGCAAGATGGTCAGGTTGTTGCATATGCTTTGCGACAATTGAAGGCAAATGAGCAGAATTATCTAACTCATGATTTAGAGTTGGCAGCAGTAGTACACGCACTCAAGATTTGGAGGCATTATGTCTATGGTGGCCAGTGTGAAATATTCACTGATCACAAGAGTTTGCAATATATATTCACACAGAAGGAGCTCAATATGCGCCAAAGAAGATGGTTGGAGCTTGTGAAAGATTATGATTGCACTATCCAGTATCATTCGGGAAAAGCGAATGTTGTAGCAGATGCCCTAAGCCGTAAGGTGAAGGGTGGGTTGGCCTGTTGTATCACTCGACATAACTAACTTATTAAAGAGTTCGCTGGGATGCAGATTGAAGTTGTCCAGACACTTCCTAAGGAGATTACGGGAAGTGTTAATTCAATGCGGGTTCAGCCCATGTTGAGAGATAGAATCCGGCAGGAACAATCTTTTGATCAATTTATTTAAAAGATAGAAGAAAAAGTTCAGGCTGGAGGAGTAGAGGGTTTTTACCGAGGCACAGATGGAGCCTTGGAGTTCATAGGCAGAGTTGTTGTGCCGAAAGTCGAGGCCTTGCGAAAGGAGATCTTGACAGAAGCACACAGTGCACCATATTTAGCTCACCCCGGAAGCACCAAAATGTATCATGACTTGAAAAAGTCATTTTGGTGGAAAGGGATGAAAAAAGATGTAGCAGACTTTGTGAAGAAGTGTTTGGTCTGTCAGCAAGTTAAGGCCGAGCACAGGAGTCCATTAGGTCTGTTGCAGCCACTTAAGATTCCTAAGTGGAAGTGGGAAGAAGTTACCATGGACTTTGTTACAAGGCTACATAAGTCATCAGAACAACATGATGCGATTTGGGTAGTAGTGGACAGATTGACGAAAGTCGCACGTTTTATGCCTGTGACAATGACCATGTCGATGGATAAGTTAGCTGAAATATATACCCGTGGATTTATTCGACTCCACATTGTAACACCCCGAATTTTTACTATATCAGAGTACGCGATTTTTTGCAATTTTCTGAACAAATAAATAAAATACTTATTTTGCGAAAACTGATTCGGGATGCTACCGTGAATAACTTGATTTTTTTCTGAAAACCGTTAAAATTTTAGACTGATAAATAAAAACGGTTATAACGTCTTATCCGACTAATGTCGGAACAAAAACTGAAAATAAGTACTGAAAGTTTTAGCGGAAACAAAGCGTGGCAAAACATATATACAATAATCACAAATATCCTGAACAGCCCGCCCGCTCACTCCTCGTCTCCGACCCTGCGACCTGAAAAACATGAAATGCGTGGGGGCGTGTGTTGGTGTTATATACTTAAGCATTGCTTTAGTGGATATTACACTTGTTATTCCTTGATGAATGAGAATTATGTTTGGTTAAATAAGTTCCACGTTCTGTTGTTTTGCATGTAGATAAGTAGGTCGTCATAGGGCGTACCCAAGATCACTATATCAGTTACTTGCGAAACAAGAATCGTTGGTTCACAACCTATATGGAATTGAACAACCCATCGGAACGGTTGTAGTGTCAACCGTACGGTTTGTCTTGACCGATTAGTTGCACTAGTACATTTATGTATTGAACAGGATCCCAGAGAGGGATGTTCGTTTTATACTAATCGTCGTAAACGAACTAGGCCTCAGTTAATTATTGCGTGCTCTTAACCCGTAAGATATTAAATAGGCATGTGCACATAATTGTTATTGCTTTGATTCTTTGGGTGAGATCAGAGCCGGATCGACATACTTAATGAATTGGGTAATAACATTATGTGTTCGATGTGCT